GCTGGAGGGGGAAGTGTGTCAGGGTTGAACGCCCTTTTCAGACCTCTCTTCGCATAGTATTTTATACTGACGATGGTTCAAGATATCTTTCGCGACTCTACTATTGGCCAAGCCATTAATTACATCTCCAGCGGGCGTCTTTTTCCTTACGCGGACCAGCGCCCAGATTTCAAAGTTCCCCCTCAATTCTTACATCCCTCGGAAAGAAAAACGGCCCTTTCTGCACCAGAGTCTGACGCGGCAACAATATGCGACGACGCCGATAAATCTGGGGAAAGAATTTCGACGCCTGGCACTCAGCTCACGAGAGAAGATACTATAGCCATCGATGGTGCTGAGAAGCTAGCAGAAAAGCAGATCGATGAAGCTCTTGAGTCAGATCCATATACAGTGGGGTGGTACGGGGACGACGATCCAGAGAATCCAAGGTATGCTGTTTTGCTCTTACGCTCAGGTCTCTTATTTACCTTTGTTCCATCTGTTCAGAAATTGGTCACCGAAAAAGCGTGCCTTTGTAGCATTCAGTATTAGTTTGCTCACGTTCAGCGTCTATATCGGCTCCGCTATATATACACCATCCATTCCAGGAATAATGGCCGACTTCAATGTCTCTCTCACGAAGGCCACTCTCGGACTAACACTTTATGTACTTGGTGAGTTTCATATTATTTGAATGTCTTCATCAAGCTAATGCGTCTTCTAGCGTACGGTATTGGACCTATGTTCCTGTCACCTCTCCAAGAACTCCCTAAATTAGGTCGCAACCCTGTGTACATGGGCACTCTTTTCCTCTTTGTCATCTTCCAAATACCTGTTGCCACCGCCCAGAATATCAGCACTATCCTCGCATTTCGGTTTCTTACAGGCCTCGTCGGCAGTCCTGCACTCGCCACTGGAGGAGCATCCATGGGAGACATCTATCCTCTGCACCAGTATGCATATGTGCTCGGGATATGGGCACTCGGGGCAGTCGCCGGGCCTATCACTGGACCGGTCGTCGGCGGGTTCGCAGCTCAGGCCAACGGCTGGCGATGGCCTCAATATGAACTTCTCTGGATTGCCGGATTCTCCCTCATCTTTCTGCTGTTGCTTCTTCCCGAGACGTACGAGCCGACGATCTTGTTGAGAAGGGCCCAGCGATTGAGGAAGCTCACGGGTAACCAGGAGCTCAGGTCTCAAAGCGAGAGGGCTGCCGAGGGAGAGTCCTTTGCGGAGGTCATGAAAGAGGCCCTGACCAGACCGTTCATTCTGGCCAAGGAACCGGTCTTGATGTTCGCTAACGTGTATATTGGATTTGTCTGTAAGTAGAAGGCTGATTTCGCTGTTGGTGTAAACCTGACATTTTTGTTATCTTAGATGCCATCTTCTATCTCTGGTTTGAAGCGTTCCCGCTCGTCTTCATTGATATATACCACTTCAACTTGGGCACCAGTGGCTTGCCATTCCTGGCTTTCGTCGTATCTGGCGCGATTACAGTCAGTAACTTTTCACGTCCCCTATGAACTGATGCTCATGTCCTATTCTAGTACTTTGTCTACGTTCTCTATCAAATGTACCACATCGCCCCTCGTTATGCCAGAGCCGATGCAGAGGGGAAAGAAATTGCACCCGAAATCCGTCTGGAGATCGGTCTAATGGCAAGCATATTCATCCCGACAAGCGTGCTCATCTTTGGATTCGCGTCCAAAGAAAGTATACATTGGATCGTTCCCGTTATCGGCGCCTCACTTTATCTCCCTGGTATCTACCTTTGTTTCCAAAGCATCCTCACATACGTTACGTCGTCTTACCCTGCGTACGCAGCCTCGGTTCTCGCTGGAAATGACCTCTTCCGTTCGAGCATCGCCAGCGTCTTTCCTCTCTTCGGGCGTGCATTCTTTGTCAACCTCGGTTTGGGTCCCGCGTCTGCACTGCTGGCGGGTATCTCATTCTTAATGATGCCCGCATTTTTGGTGCGTATCGCATCACCATGCATTCAAATAGTAGATACTGACTTTAACACCGTAGGCGCTGTGGAAATGGGGCCACATACTACGAGCAAGGTCCAAGTACGCTCAAGGGCCATAGAGGACTTCTCGCACTTTGGACAATTCAGTCAGCTTATGCGCTACGGAAAAAGGCTCGCCGTAGAGAGCGTTTCCAGCACACTATGCCCAGATACCTGGCTCCCATAAGGGAAGATCCACTTGAAGGACGCTTCTATATGACATTAGACGATATCATTACGAGTTTAAGTTTTAGATTAACATCATTAATGTTTGACACTGTATCAGATAGCCTAGAATTACGAGACCGAATTGCGGGCCCATGACTTAATGCCTATAGCTCGCCACCTGATTCAGAACTCTTCCACTACCCTGCCCTGCATATCTAGCCATTAGTGCTGCTTGTTGTCGCATCGCTTGTATGTCGGGCGTTGCCAACTATGTCGAAGATCATTTTCGGGAGGAAGAGGACTTGCGCGAACGGATAGAACGAGTATTCTCGCTGAAGATGGGTCCTCGATAGACCTCTTTGATTGGTATATGACTGCTGTCATTCGAGTATAATGCCGCTTGTATTGTCGTATATCTGCATATAAGCTCATTAGAAGTTACGCTTGACTTCAGATATACTAAGTCCCTTCAACTCAGCAATGAAGGCTCTACGCAGGTCCATTGTCAATTAAGAGCTATGGTAGTACCAGGTGCAGAGGTACACCGAACCGAAATACTGTTATTGAGTAGCAACCTCGTAAAACCATGAACCGTCTTTCTGAATGGGAATAATAATTCACCATTCCTCTCGACGTTGTCCAATACATCGATTTGCAGATTCCGTAGTGCTGGTTCCATCAACAGCGATGTCGCAGCAGGGTAGGACATACGCCCAAGCCTTCTCACTGGAGGTTCGGCAACCTTCTTAAGAGGATCAGCGTCGGAAGTCTTGTTTACAGGTTGGGAGGAGCCCCCGGCGATTCATGACGCTCCGATTTAGGTTCCAACCATTGTGTCAACCTTTCTGTAGAATGCAACCGTTAGACGCAGCTTATGCAAGGCAGTAGGACAAACCTATCGGCGACGTATAGTCCCACGATTCTCACTGTTCAACGAAAGTAGCGCCAGATTCTTCAATGTTCCCTTCCCTGTAGAGACGCGGTCATCTACAACGGGTTTGACAGAGACATTGTGTACTCCAGCACTAGCTCTTGCAGCCCTCAATTCTTTGTGTACTGGAGAAATGCAGATGCTTGAGAAACACCTGGGTGAATAGACCTGTTCTGTCATCGATTCTGCGACCATCGGTGAGCTCAGAAGATTAGCAAGAGGCGGGCGAAGCGAGTGGACACACTCAAAGACATTGAACGGAGGCAAAGCTTTCACTATCTCCCTTATTGCGGATAATGTATTAAAACGGACACACTACGAACCTAGGAGCCGGGAAAACCGCGTCATTGTTGAACGTAGCACTCACCCGTTCGTTTGTCCCAGAGACAAAACCAAACATTGCGACCGATAGTCATACCTCTTGGGCAGCGCGCTGCTGTACAAGACAGACAAAGCATCTGAGAATGGCATCATAATGATCAACAGTGGGAAGGAAAACGAAAGATGATAGAGAAGAATCGCCAGAACGTGACATTGCATAGTTCACGATGACACCTTGTTACCAGCCATAATACGCAGCAGACCACGTTGGTAACGACGAGAGTTTAGGGGAAGTTGAAGTGGATTTCAAAGACAAGTGGCCGGCGAAAACATATGCCATTCTAGGGTCCATATTGAAGAAGTATCGAACTCAGTGGTGACTGCTTGGCAAAACTCGTATGCAGTGGTTCTTCAGAATCCTTGTCATTTCTCTCTCTACAGCGCAGGAAAATCTGAGAAACATTTAGCTCGACCTTAATTGAACTTGTGTTTACATCTTAGGGTGCTTATCGCACCGGCACGGCTCTCCATTGCAATGATTTGGTCGGCACAAGTACTCGGATTAACGTATTTATACACTGCATTGGAGGTGATAAGCTATATGGACATCATTAAACACATAAGTAGGAACAAACCTTGACATGAATCACCGCCTCGGTAGAAATGCCGCTCTAACTAATCCTCTCACCCTCCACTCCCAGGCAACCAGATTCACCCTGCGCGTCACCTCAATGCGTATCGAGTCTTTGGAGTGCAATATGCAGTGAAGATATGCAAATACAAGCGCGTCGAGTGGTGTTGGAGCCCTACCCAGTGTCAGTACTATAGAAGAAACAAGCAAAGAGAACGTACTCGGATGACAAGAACCACTTGTCGGTGCCCAGTCTTTCGGAGAGCGCCCCAATGGCTTCACGGTAGCGCGACTGTATAGCTTCGCGAGGGATGCGCGCGCCAAACGGCGGGAAGAGGGAAGTGAGGCCCGACAGCGGGGCCGGGGGCGGCGCGAGGATGGACTCAATTGGGCGGGTCTTGGTTTCCGCTAGGGAGAACAGCGTCTGCGTCGGTTGGACGAGGAGCAAAGCAGCGTGCACACAACCTTCCAACAGCGCCACCCATGCCCGACTCTCGTCACGCGCCGCCTCGTCTTTGTAGCCTTCCAGCCCATCGTCATTGTCGATGTTGACCTTGGTGTCCACCCAAACAGGCAGCTCCCTCGCCGCCAACAACTGCGCCCCGTCCCACAAGTTGGGAAGCTGCCCGTCGATAGAGCCCTGGGGGTCAACGTCGGTACGCACGGCGATGTGATCAAGGCCGCGTAGGGCAAGGTAGGCTTGCCATTTGAGGCATTCGACGTCGGAACTGAGGACGCCGTCAGGTGAGTGTGGAGGATGGATCCATAGACAGGGAGTTGGGTATGTCTGGAATTGGGACGGAGGAGGGATTGGAGGATAAGTGTAGAGAGGGAACGGGGAGAGCAGCTTTTGGATGATGGGTGGGACTTGCATGCCGATAGGTCTAAAGCGAAGCTTGACTTTAATTTTGATAGCTGATTGTGGCGCTTGAGTTGTGACATCTTTAAACTATAGAAATTATGAGGGCGTAGCTCAGTTGGGAGAGCAACAGACTGAAGTAAAGCATTTTGCGTATATGATTCTGGAGGTCCCCAGTTCAATCCTGGGTGCCCCCATTGTTTTTTTCAGAGCACTGGTGACTGATTTTAGTCCCTCGCCGCTCGGAGTCTGAGTCGGACTGACTCGGGACTCGGGATCCGGAGGTCCGGAGCTGTGAGCAATGGAGCGTTCAGTGAGTACTTCTCAATGGACGGGCTCTGGTGTCAAGAATGGAAAGACTTAAGTCTCACTTAGAGATTGCCAGAGAGCTTATGGCATTGGTTGTTTATGTACGATGAAAAATACAGTCAACTCTGTAATAACCCATACCTCTATAAGGACATACCGCCCCATAAGCCATAGGTTTGTCTACCGAGGTGCATATTCCCCTCAAATTCCTCTCTTCAAACCCATACTCCCTCATAACCCATAGTTGAGTGGGAACGGAGGGGTATGGGTTATTACAGAGCTAATTCTAATCTCAATATTTTAGGACTTTGGAGGTTTGAATTGACGCAACGCGAAGCCGCATACTTAACAGGTAATCCCGCTTCAGGCGGGATTACTTAATACATTACCTAATGCCAATAGCTGGCTTACTATACGTCATCATCTTTCAACAGCTATACATCTTCTCTTCCTTCCCTCTTCTCTCTTTTTCTACTCTTTCTACTTTTCACGATGGCAGAAGAAATCCAGATAAACGTAAAAGGTCTCTGACATACTCTCTCTCTGCTCCGTGTTGATGGCGCTGATTCACATTGTGTCCTAGGCCCGGGCGAAATCAAGCTTCAGATAACGATCGCGACAGATAAAACGGTTCTCGAGCTGAAGCAGGCAGTCGCCGAGAAATCCGACGTAGAGGCAGAGCGGCAGAGGCTCATTTATTCTGGTATTTCCCTTGGTTTTTCTCATTTTCATACAAACAGCTTGCTGACAAAATGGGTACTAGGACGTGTCTTGAAGGTGCCGTTACGGCTGTTCTTCCATACACTATCCGTGCTGACTGTATCCAGGACGAGGATGTTCTTTCCACGTACAAAATCAGCTCTGGGCATACGATTCACATGGTGAAAGGAGTGGCGCGCGGGGGGAATGCGTCTTCGTCAGCGGCGGCAGCAGCACCGCAGCCCCTTCCCACCATGCAAACGGGGCAAAACCCCCACGATCCGCTTACGCTGCTCAACAGCCACCTGGGATACGGTGCCATGGCGGGCATCAACCCCTTCGCCGACATGGGCCTAAACCAGAACGACCCCAATATGGTGTGTAGCTGTATTTTGGTTCCCGACAGCAATTAATGAATGATTTGCACAGCTCCAAACGATGATGAACTCACCCGAATTCCTGCAACAAATGGCCGGGATGATGGCGAACCCTGCTGTGCTTGACCAAATCATCGCTTCTAATCCACAGCTGCAAGGTATGGCTCCGCAGGCCAGGGAGATGTTTCAGAGTGAGGCATTCCGGCAGATGATGTGTGTTCATCGATCTTTTTGCTTTCCACTGCCTTGCTGACTTTTGATGTATAGTCAGGACCCGCAACGGCTTCAACAAATGATGCAGATGGCGTCGATGCTTCAGGGAGGTGGGGCGGGCGGAATGGGTGGGTTGGGCGCATTTGGAATGGGAGGAGGTGCGAGTAGTTTCCCTGCTCCAGGCGTGCCAGGTGGCGCCGCACCCGCACCCGCTACTGGAGCAGCAGCAGCCACGGGAGGTGCGGCAGCAGCACCTGGAACGGGGACGACACCGCTACCAAATTTGTTCAATCCCTACGGTGGTATGTCGACTCCAAATGCGCGCCCTCCGTTTGCACTCGATTCTGCGTTGACGCGGCAGCTCCTCCTAGGAGGCGGGCTACCCGGCGGACTTGGGGGCGGACTTGGTGGTGGACTAGGCGGATTTGGTGCTGCGCCCACAGCCCCGGCGGACACGAGATCGCCCGAAGAGCGGTTCCAGGTTCAACTGCAGGTATGTGTTCTTTTCCTTGTCTTCGTACGCTTCTAATGCATGCAATAGCAATTGCAAGATATGGGCTTTACAAATGCATCGCAGAATGTTCGTGCTCTGTTGGCTACAGGTGGTAACGTGCACTCGGCGATTGAATATATTCTTGGTGGTGGTGGGATATGAATGTAGAACACGGACATATTTGTAACCTTTTTCAGCGCTGATTGTTGCATGTATTCATGTTTTCTTTAATGTACCACTGGGCTCATAGTCAATTTACTGATGTAGAATATGAGATTATCCGTTGATCTTTCTAAGGTCTACATCTACGCAGCAGAATATTTTCTCAGCACAGGATCTTCCAACAATCTTCCCATGGCTTTCTCTTCTAAATGTAGTTGCAAATCAACTCCCGCGTCGTACCAGCGACCGTGTTCCCCGGTTTTATTCTGCACTTCCATTACCTGCAGCAATCCATCCATTTTAGGCATCACCGCCTCGACGTACCGTGGCCTCAGACCCCCAAAACCGACATCGTAGATTCCAGTATGCACCCACGACGTGACCAAAACATGCCGGCGCCCCAGAAATGCCTGCCACAACCTCTGCGGCGCCACTTCAAACTTCTTCTCGTGCAAATGGGCCTTCAACGCATCAACGGTAAACTGCGACAACGTGTCGTGAATACCTTGTGCTGTAGGCGTACGCACATCCGCAAGCATGATAGGCGACCCGATAAACCCATCCGGGAGTTTTAACCGTGGGCGTAACCCAAACGTAAGATCCATGTGGACTTCATCTCCTTCCACAAGGCCACGAGCACGATTGATGCACCCCCACACATGCGCCAAGATGGCCTCCATCCGTGTCCCACCTTCCATTTGCTTCACTTCGTCCCGGGTGAAGTGAAGGACGTAGTGGGAGACGGGAGCCGAGATGTCCCATTCGCTCCAAGGCATCCGCGTCCCTCCCACATCGGCCGGAGGATCGAATCCAGGGGGGACGACAGTTGCCTGGGATGGGAATGGGCAATCTGAACCGGAGATCCACCAGTCGTAACGGTTGCAAGGTAACTTGCGCGCTTCCCTGACCAGAGCCGAGTCGACTTCTGAGGCTGTTGCATAGGCGTCGAGGAGCTGGGGGTTGAAGATTGGGTTTGGAACAGCGTGTTCGATGCAAGCCCAGTCCCTAGCGAAATGGGCTAATGTGTGTGCATCGGAGAGGGGATGCGCTAGGCGAATGCCGATGGCAGTTCCTCCGCATGCGAACGCCGTGAATTGGATCAGCATAGCCGGACCATCGGGATCAACGGGGGCTAATGGCGTTGACGGGAGGAACTTGGCTGCAGGTAAACCAGAGGCATCCCATGCTTTGGGTCGCGGCGAAGGGACAAGGTCTGCGAGTCGTGCATTAGTTCGCGCATCGACGAAGAGAATCCCCGGGTCCATAACGGAACCAAACGTTAGAGCGAGCCGGTCGGATGGAAGACGGTGAAGACGGCCGCACCATTGTGGATAAAAGTCGAGGGTTTTTCTGAGAGTGGATTTCAGGTCTTCGAGTGAAGGGGAGGCATTGTAGAACCATACGGCTTCACAGGGACTGAAATTGCCTACTGTTGAATCGATGATGGAGAGAGGAACGGTGTGTTCTCCGGACGAAATACTGAGAGGGAACTCCCGGCTGGTATTGAGAATATCTACAAGTACGGTGTTGCTGGCCATGGAGATGGAAATCCACTACTGTGATGAATGGATCGAATATATACACTGACCTGAGTCAGCGGGTCCGCCTTGAACGTGTCCGAGTCTGCACTAATGAACAAGGATGACAATGATGACGGAACCGAGATATGAATATATCATCTTGTGCAAACGATTGCGAAAGACGATTCGGATGAATCGTCGCAGAGTTCCAGTCTCCCACTGTGAAGTCCACTTGACCGTTTCCATTTTTGGATGACCAAGTAATGCCGGCAAACGGCAAGGCCTGCTACCTTGACGTCATACGACGAATATATTAAAGTGGAAAGGAGTCCACCTCTTCTCTCACTCCGACGATGTCGCACCCCTTGTTCGTGTATCTAGAACCACGCTCAACGCACGCCCAATTCGGACATAGCAACTACATCACCCTCGACATGTCCTTCGAGTACGGCCCCTACATCCCCAACTACTCGACCCTCCCGCCCTCCGCAACAGATATCTACTCCCTCCGTTCCCCCGTCCTCTACAACACCCTCAAAGAATTCTACGAGTCACCCATCGCGAAACCCCCGCCACCCAGCGACTTGCAGAACACCATACACTTTACCGCTGTACGCTACCGAGACACGTCTGCTCTTGTCGTCATCCACGGTCTCTGCATGCAACACAAATTCGAGGGGCATCTTCTCATGCTCAGTCTCGGGACGCTGCCCAAGGTCAAGGACTGGCAGGAGGCGCTGAGTCGTATTAGGTCCCAGGGTGATGTTGATATATCTGCTAATAGAAAGGCTGTCGCGATCCTTGTCTGGTCTTTCCTGATTGACAGAACTCAAGCGCAAATAGGTGAGTTGCACACATTTCCCACGACTCGTACTAATTCACCCTTAGCCCAATGGAGGGCGTATAGTGAGCAGTGGCGACAAGTCACCGAAGCGAGTGAGTGATGCTGCTTTCATTCTGTCCTGACCAATCCTTATCATTGCTCTAGACGCATTTTTCTGCGCCCTAAACCGTTGGTTCCCTTTGTCATCCTCCTCGCTCTCAACGTTGTTATCTAGTGCAACCAATATCCGTTTTAGCAAGTGTGAAATCCAAGTAGAACCAGACGACTACATGTGGAGTATGGTTCATGGTGATAATTGCAGTAAGCTACGCCAGTGCGAATCTAACTGTCTTCATTCCAAGGCCATGCAAGTGCTGCGACATTTACCTCACAGCAAAGGCGCCGAGTTGAGGAACGCTCCAAGACCGTGTCAAATCGTTCATTCGTTTTCGTATACACATTTCAGAATATTACACGTTTGATGCATATGCCGGTACTTGATTTATGATTTATGTACCATTCCCAGATCCCTGTCATAAAAATCAAAAGTCTGTTGTACAATAAAATTGGAAACAGAACTGAATATTGTCTTGCAGGAAAG